CTAGGGATTGGCGGATATCTATTGGATGACTCTGGCAGCACCTTGTGAAGTTGTGAGAAATCAAACTTTACGGGTTCTGGGGGGAGTATGATCTCAAGGCTGAAACTTAAAGGAATTGACGGAAAGGCACCACCAGGCGTAGAGCCTGCGGCTTAATTTGACTGAACACGGGAAACTCGCCAGGTCCAGACATAGCAAGGATTGACAGATTGACAGTTCTTTTTTTATTCTATGGGTGGTGGTGCATGGCCGTTCTTAGTTGGTGGAGTGATTTGTCTGGTTAATTTCGTTAACGAAGGAGACCTCAACCTGCTAAATAGCTACGCGGAAACCTTCCTCGTGGCCAGCTTCTTAGAAGGACTGTGGGACGACTAGCCAACGGAAGTTTGAGGCAGTAACAGGTATGTGATGCCCTTAGATGTTCTGGGCCGCACGCACGCTACACTGATGAATCCAAAGAGTCGCTTCCCGGGGTTGAAAGGCCCGGGTAACCTTCTTAAGGTTCATCGTGACAGGTATAGATTGTTGTAATTATTGATGTTGAACGAGGAATGCTTAGTAAGCGCGAGTCATCAGCTCGCACTGATGACGTCCCTGCCCTTTGTACACACCGCCCGTCACGCCTACCGATTGAATGGTCCGGTGAAGTGTCTGCATTGCGGTGATCTCGGTGGTTTGCCACTGGGGGTGCTGTGAGAAGTTCATTGAACCTTATCATTAAGAGGAAGGAGAAGTCGTAACAAGGTTTCCATAGGTGAACCTGCGGAAGGATCATTAACACGTAAATGGCTGATCTTTGGACGCTGGCTTGGTCGCCCTTCCGCCGCCCTTTGCCCCCATCCTCCCTGCATCCGCTTTTCTATTCCGTTTTAGCACCACCTTGGGCTTAGTGCCCAGCTGGCAGTTGGCCCGGCACAGAGGGGGGCGTGGTGTAGGTCGAGGCTGGGGGTAGTGGGCAGGGTCTGGGACCTTGTGTCGTTGCTCCCCCTTCATCCCGTCTCGCCTCCGCAGGTTGTTACCTCGACTCAGCCCCACTCTCGACTTCTGGTCGGGATGGCGGTTGGTCTGGGCACGGACAACGCTGCGGGAGGGTCAGGGAAGTGATGTCGAGTGGTGACGGTTGTCCTCGGCCTGCGTACCCCCGCTCACTCCCGTCTCAACTTTGTCTAGACCTCCTTTCCATCCCGGCCTCAACCTCGGCTTCGTGCGGAGCTTGTGTCCTGTTTGGGGATCGAGGGTCGTGGTAGAGGCTAGGGGCAGGGTGTGTTGTGGGGTCCTCGGCCCATCCCCGTTTCGTCATGGCTTCCTTCCCAACGGGGTTCTCCTTTCCGGACAGATCGGCGTCCTCGACAAAGTCGAGGTGGTCTGAATCTCGGGGTGCAGGGCCGTTGGGGGAGGGTTTTGGTCGTGAACAGGGCGGTGTCGGGTGGGGGGGGGGAGGAGATAGTGCTTGCACCCTCGTTGCCCCGCTGCTCCCCGGTGCCCTGCCTGGCCCCCGAAACGGGGGGTCGGACGGGCCCGTGGCAGCGGGCGGTGGTGACGACTTTGCAACTTCTTATTGATGTACCTCCTTTGATTTGTCGTTGTCCGGGTCGACGGCAACCTTCTGTTCTGGTTGAGGGGTCGGTCCTGTCGGAACGGCACCATATTGTAGAACTCTCGGCAAACGAATATCTTGGCCCTCGCAACGATGAAGAGCGTGGCGAAATGCGATATTGAATGTGAATTGCAGAAATCCGTGAGCCACCGATACCTTGAACACACGTGGCGCCCAAGGCTTCTGCCGAGGACACGCGCGCCTGAGCATCGTTGGATTCATCACGAACTCAGCACCTTCCGTTTCGGAGAGTGGTGGGGTCCGGGGTCCGTGGTCGTGGGTTCCCTCACTTCCCACTTGGAGAGCGTCGATAGCCTAAAGTGGAAGGGAATTGGAGAGCATTCTGAGTGGGCCTATAAGGGCCGCACCCCAGATTGGTGCGTTTCGCTCCGCCCTGTTGTTGCCCTCCAGCACCCATTTGTGGGTGGTGGTCTTCGTTTCCCTGAAAACGGCACGTAAGGTCGTCCCTCCGGTTTGTGTGGTCGCCACCTTTCGTTCGCTCCCATCGGCTTGAGGTGGGCTTGCGGTTGGRGGTGTCGGCCTCGAGCTGTGGCGGTACGTCGGGCCTTGCCTTTTGATCTCAGGTCGGGAGGGAGCACACGCCCAATTTAAGCATATAACTAAGCGGAGGAAGAAAAACCAACGAAGATTCCCTTGGTAGCGGCGAGCGAACCGAGAAAAGCCCAGACTGGAAATACGGGGGCTCTGTTCCTCCCTGAATTGTAGTCTTTAGAGGCAACCTCTGCAGCTGGCCATGTGCAGGTTCCCGGGAAGGGGACGCTGAAGAGGGTGACAGCCCCGTCGACCGCCGGACCCTGCTGCGCAAAAGTCGGGTTGCTTGGGAATGGAGCCCCAATTGGGTGGTAAGTCCCATCCAAGGCTAAATGTGTGCGAGGGACCGATAGCCAAGAATTACCGCGAGGGAAGGATGAAAAGAACTTTGAAAAGAGAGTTAAAGAGTGCTTGAAATTGCCGAGCGAGAAGCGGATGGAGGGGAAGTTGTGCGCTCCCGTCTGGGCAGGGGTGGACGACGACTGTGTTGTCGCCCCCCTTGTTGGATGTGGGGTGCCTGCCAGCATGGGCTGTTGTGACCGGCATTGCGGTGGGGAGCGACTGAAACCCCCCAAAGGTGGCCGTCACGGCAGTCGAGGACCTTGAGCACGCGCCTCTTTCGGCGGGCCCGTTCGGGTTCCTGCGTGTTCGGGATGCTGGCGAAATTCCTCTATCCTGCCCGTCTTGAAACACGGACCGAGGAGTTCAACGTGCATGCGAGTCCGTGGGTGATTAGCTCACGAGGCGGAAGAAACCTGAGCGGCAGGAACCCTCTGCGGGTGCACCGTCCGCCACCCACGATCTGTTGTGAGAGGTTTGAGTGTGAGCATGCCCGTTGGGACCCGAAAGATGGTGAACTATGCCTGAGCAGGGTGAGGCCAGAGGAAACTCTGGTGGAGGCTCGCAGCGATACTGACGAGCAAATCGTTCGTCGGACTTCGGTATAGGGGCGAAAGACTAATCGAACCGTCTAGTAGCTGGTTCCCTCCGAAGTTTCTCTCAGGATAGCTGGAGATGTTGAATAGTTTTATCGGGTAAAGCGAATGATTAGAGGCCTCGGGGGTGAAACACCCTCGACCTATCCTCAAACTTTAAATAGGTAAGATTTCGGGGTTSCTTAAGCGAACCCCGAGGATCAATGAAAGCTCCAAGTGGGCCATTTTAATAAGCAGAACTAGCGATGCGGGATGAACCGAAAGTCGAGCTACGGTGCCAAACTGCGCGCTAACCTAGACACCACAAAGGGTGTTGATTGATACAGACAGCAGGACAGTGGTCATGAGTGTCGAAATCCGCTAAGGAGTGTGTAACAACTCACCTGCCGAATCAATCAGCCCCGAAAATGGATGGCGCTGAAGCGTGCGACCTATGCTCGGCCGTCGCGGCGATTCTGACGTCGCGATGAGTAGGAGGGCGCGGGGCCTGCTGCGAAGTCTGGAGAGTGAGCCTAGGTGAAGCGGGTTCCGGTGCAGATCTTGGTGGTAGTAGCAGGTATTCAAATGAGAACTTTGACGACCGAAGTGGAGATGGGTTCCATGTGAACAGCGCTTGGACATGGGTCGGTCGGCCCTAAGAGATGTGGAAACCTTGTATCAAGGGCGCACTGTGCGCCGCACATCGAAAGGGGGTCAAGTTAATATTCCCGAACCGGGTTGTGGAGGTGGACGGTAACGTAAGCAGCTTCGGAGATACTGGCGGGGGCCGTGGGGAGGGTTCTCTTTCCTTTTGACGGCTCGCCCACACTGGAATCGGATCAACCGGAGATAGGGTGCAGCACCCGACAAAGCACCGCGCATCCTGTGGTGTCCAGCGCGCCCCCGACGGCCCTTGAAAATCTGGAGTTGCGGGTACCTCTCACGCCCGGCCGTACTCATAACCGCATCAGGTCTCCTAGGTGAKCAGCCTCTGGTCAAAGGAAGAATGTAGGTGAGCGAAGTCAACAATATGGATCCGTAACCTTGGAAAAAGGATTGGCTCTGAGGGTTGGGCCTAGGGGTCTGCGCCTCGATGTCGTTGGTTGTCGGTGGTCTGCCCGAGCTGCTCTCGCTGCGAGGGCGGAGCCCGCGTGCCAGTGTACCGACGGGCGTAGAATGTCTTATGTCCCCACCTTTCAGGTGGGCCGTGGGACTCTCCCTAAGCATCAAACTGCCGACTCAGAACTGGTGCGGACAAGGGGAATCCGACTGTGTAATTAAAACAAAGCATTGCGATGGTCCCAATGGATGTTGACGCAATGTGATTTCTGCCMAGTGCTCTGAATGTCAAAGTGAAGAGACTTAACCAAGCACGGGTAAACGGCGGGAGTAACTATGACTCTCTTAAGGTAGCCCAATGCCTCGTCATCTAATTAGTGACGTGCATTAATGGATTAACGAGATTCTCACTGTCCCTATCTACCATCTGCGAAACCACATCCAAGGGAACGGTCTTGGAAGAATCGGCGGGGAAAGAAGACCCTGTTGAGCTTGACTCTAGTTCGTCTCTGTGAAATGACTTGAGAGGTGTAGAATAAGTGGGAGCGTTACAGCGCAAGTGAATTACCACTACTTTTAACGTTCGTTTACTTATTTCGTGAGGTGGAGCCGGCGCTCTGCCCCTGCTTCTCGATCCAAGGTGCTGGCCCTCGTGGCCTATCTGATCTAAGTAAAAGACATTGTCAGGTAGGGAGTTTGGCTGGGGCGGCACATCTGTTAGAAGATAACCCAGGTGTCCTAAGATGAGCTTAACGAGAACAGAAATCTCGTGTGGACCAAAAGGGCAAAAACTCATTTGATTTTGATTTCCAGAACGAATATAAACTGTGAGAGCATGACCTATCGATCCTTAAGCGTTTAAGGACTTGAAGCTAGAGGTGTCAGAAAAGTTACCACAGGGATAACTGGCTTGTGGCAGCCAAGCGTTCATAGCGACGTTGCTTTTTGATCCTTCGATGTCGGCTCTTCCTATCATTGTGAAGCAGAATTCACCAAGTGTTGGATTGTTCACCCACCAACAGGGAACGTGAGCTGGGTTTAGACCGTCGTGAGACAGGTTAGTYTTACCCTACTGATGCACCGCCGTCGCAATAATAATCCAACCCAGGTCGAGAGGAACCGTTGGTTCGCACAATTGGCAATTGTGCTTGGCTGAAAAAACACCGGTGCAAAGCTACTGGCCCCTAGGTCAGAATCTGTGCTTGCAGCGACGGCGTATGCCTCCTCGGATGACACAAGGTTGTCGATAGGGCTAGCCCGTCTGGCCCCAGAAGAATAAGTTCAGAGTTGTCCCTCCTGCGGCGGAGCACCGACGCCCTGGGGGTCTCTTCATCGCAATTTCTTTCGCTCGGGGAGTCAAACCCTTTGCAGATGACTTAGACAAGGAATGGGGTGTTGTAAGCAGTAGAGTGGCCTTGTCGTCACGATCTGTTGAGATTCGGGCCTTTGTTCCAAAAGTTTCCCCCACTTGCTTGCTCCCCACCCCTCCTCAAATGTTTGAACGACGGTCATCCGCGTCTGAAGAGAGTCGTCGCCCTTGTATAGGGGCCAATGAGCTGCTTGCTTCTTTTTTTTTTTTCAGTTTTGCTGCTTCCGTCTGAAGCTCCTTTTGCCCGATATGGTACTCGACTTTCGGCTCAAAGGAAAACCGTGCCCGAGCCCATGTTGGGGTGGGTGCCACGTTCTAAGCTTCTGGCCACTGCGGCGCGCCATCTGTCCGAAAAGCATGGATATGTATCCGCGTGTCTTCCTGTGCTTGACCCGGTGGGCGTTTGTGCATGCCACATTGTCCGATGTCGCCCCATACGGCCTGCCACTTTTGGCTGCACAGAGACCTGGGACCAAAGCCTGGATCGAGGAGAGTGCCACATTGAACACTTACTCACGATGTGGCGGGCGACCTTTGTTTCAGTAAAAAAAAAAAACGTTATTCTTCAAGTATTCAAACAAAATGCAAATGTGTACTATGTACATATGTCTATAATATTATATATATGACTTTTTTTTTTTCTTTTTTTTTTTTTCCTATTGGAATCACCTTTCTTTCATGATGAAAACAAAATTATGAATCTTCTCATTCTATAGATAAAAGTTTGCTCAAGCAAGTATTCAATCAATTAAACAGAAGATTTTTAGTAGAGGGGGAGAGACGGAGAGTGTCTGGCCCCCCTTGCGTACAAGTGTAATCATGGTGGGGGCGCGCGAAGCATGCCCCTGGTGTTTGGGACCTGGAAAGCCAATTCCCACCCTATCTGGCCCTCCCCATGTGTGTGCGTAATATCATGGCTTGGGAACAAAATACCTACTTCTTTCCTTACGTGGCCCTCACCACGCGACTGCGTAGTCATGATCTTGGTGGGGCCGCGCGCCCCCCAGCTTTGGGAACAGAAAGGCCACTTCCTGCCCTTTGTGCCCCCCCCCCCGCCCCCATGCGTGCGCGCAATGATGTTCATGGCGGGGGCAAACGGCCCACTTCCTGCCCTATCTGACCCTCCCCACGCGTGCGCATGATCATGGCGGGCTGCTTCACTGGAGGCAGTACCTGATTGGCTCCATGGTGCTCTCCGGGACATGCACGAAAATGCTTATTGCTGTTGGGTTTTCGGCCTCACTTGTTCTGCTGGATGCAGTTTTTTCCGGGGCCGACACAAATTGAAATGACGATTTTGTCAAGTCATCCTTGACTTTTCTTTCCCCCCTTCTCTTTCTGGAGTGTGTGTCCCGTCATGTTCGCCAACACATAAACCCACAACGGACGCACAATTCTGCCAGACTTCCTGTAAACGTTTCACTCCCACACCGCGGTGTGATTTGAGTCGCTAGGCACAGAAGCTGCTTGGCCTTTTCTCTGTTTGTTTCGTCCCTTTTTTTTTTTT